GCAATGAGTATAAAATACTAAGTTTTTTGTTATGCAATTACTTCCTAGGTTCAAGAAAGAGAGAGAATTCGTCAAGAAGAGCTTGAATATCTGCGTCAAAGGTTTGAGCTGGTCTTCACCTAAAGAACCTATTTAGAGTCATGTGCGTAAACTTTCTGTGTATTTCCTTTCCACAGGCAAATTGCGCGCGAGATGAAAGAACAAACAGAACAGCGCCAAGCCGAGGAAACCGCTTTTTACAGGCAACAAGATTTGATGTTAGATGCCGAGGATCAGCGAAGAAAGATGATCGCTGAAGAAGAGACAAAACTATTGGACCAAAGAAGAAGGTAAGAATCGACCCATTTCAGGCCACGTGTCATTCCCTAGAGTATCATTTCTTTGTTTAACGGTTGCGCATGACAAAAACGGACAAAAGTCAAACAAAGTATCTTATTCTCAAGAGAATGACACGTGGTGTGAAATGGGAAAACATTACGCCCATGCACAAGATATAATTGGCAATATCTAGACAATATCCTTTGGATAGCAAAGCAAAGTAAAGCCGAAAACCTTGTAAAGCACAGAACTTGGGGCTCCAGTGGATTTTAAAGTCATGTCTTGTTTCATATTTCTCAGACTTCAAGCGATGAAGAGAGAAGTTCATTTGCGCGAGCTTCAGCTACTTGACGCTGCTCGCAGGCGCCATTTGCATTATCAACAGAACCAACGCGAGGCTGAACTGAGAAGACTCGACGATGAGATTGAAAGAAAGGTACTTAAATTTTTGCTGGAACTGCAGTGCGGAGTAATATCAGTAAGATGATGAATTTTTCGTGAGGTCAAATCTGTGCTGCGCGGAAAGATTAGGGTCATACAGGCTTTATTGTGATTTTTTCCTCTTCTTTTTGTGGAGGCGAAGACCATAAGAATTATAACTCAAATTTACACAGCCTGCCCTCGTGATAAAGGCTTGCCAGCTTTTTCTTACGTCTTTATTAGTGACGAACCTAACAACAGTAAAAAGATCACAGGGCATACCTGCCATGTCACGTCACACAGTTTGTAATGATGGTTTAATAAACGCTTGGGTTTTCCTAGGCGTTGCTGCGAGAACAAGAAACAGAGGCTGCTGTTGAAGATGCTGATATCAAAGCCCTCGAGCTTCAAGCTCAAAAAGAAATGCTACAACAGGTATATTACTAACAGTACTTTGACTTGTAAATGACTTCCATTCCAAGCACTCTCATTGATGTTATCTTTTGTATTGATATTATTTTGAGATTTTGGGTCGGTTCAGAGTGGATCCATTTGAAAGTCACTTACTGTCATTTCTGCCCTACTCAGTCGCACGAATTGACAAAAAATGCTCAAAATCGTATGACAGTTGAGAATGAAACTGTCAAGCCATATAAAAGGTGGATCTTCGCCGTAGTATATAAACTTTGATCAAACTTGTGGCCCTTAGTGAAAGGGAAAGACCGTTTTATGAGGCTATTTTTTTTATTTCAGGATATGATTCGCGACGAGCTTCAGACTTCTTTCAAACAGCGCACAGAACTAAACACTCATCGCCAGCAGCAAGAACTTGAGGGTGATTTGTTTAGACGCACTCTTGATGTCATGCAAGAAGTTGATCTCGACTCTCAAAGAGTAAGTATAGCCAGGCTATCTCTATTGATTGGTCACGTGATCCTACTCCCCCGCCCCCCTAATCGAGCATCTCGTGTTTTATAAAAGTAACACCAAAAATAAAAAGAATACATGGTTATTAGTAAAGAGGCAAAGTTTCAGCTTGCCGACTATAGGAGAAATGACATTGCAAAAAATAGAAATAAGGAAAATGAATTGGATGGAAAGGTGAACTGCTCGATTTAAGAGTAGGGTCGTGCGACCTGTTTTAGTGCATGGCTCGATGAGTTTTGTTAGTCTAAAAAAATGAAAGCTGTGTTAGCTACACGAGGCTGTCCTAGCAACTTCAACATGACAGAACAGTACGCGTGTAACCTCGTAACCCTCCGGGCATTGATAAAATTTTGCAAGGAAATTACGACGCAGTTTGAAACGGCTGCCAATAAGATTGCGATGCCTAAGAGATTGCGCAAAAAAACATTTGGCTATAATGTTTATGAACTGCCAACAGAATTGGCTCAGCTATGCACTTTATATGTATGTAGGCCTACCTTACGGATCTTTCTATTTAAGGTAAATCTAGTTATATTTACTGTTGCTGTTTCATTTACGATAAGATTGCTCAAGAAGATCTGGCAAAAGTGCAAAACAAGAGACAAAACCTTGAAAAGGAAGAAGAAGTTTGTCTTAAAACGAGACTTGACGACATGGAAAGAGAGCTGGATCGAGTCAAGGTTGGTTCCAGTATCACATGGATTGCTGATTGATGACAGAGCCGCCACCAAAACAGCCTTCACGTGCGCTTAATGGACACTTCTTAAAATTGTCTTGAATAAGAGGCTAACATGAAAGTACAAAAGAAATGCCACAAATTCTATGGAGAAAGTGTGACTTTTTTAGTTATATTTCCATGTTAGCCCTGCACCCACGGTACTTTTGAGAAGGGTCATTAGTAATATTTCCTTATTCTGTTAGATAACAAGACGTGCGTTAGAGAACAAAGAAAGAGAAGATGAACTACAGACGCTGACTCGTCAACTGGAAAATAAAGAGGTTCGTGTTATAAAGCACTTATTACAGCGTTTTTTTTATGAGTGGGAAACAACGCCACTGACTTACAGCACGTAAATGGTAAAGTAATTCATCCAATCAAAACGCTTAGTTAGGGTTACGGTACAGCTGCAGTACGGCTACGTTTCCCACTCATACGAAAACAGCTTTAAACCATAAGTAAGTACGTATTAAAGGTTTGGTATTCATTGCTTTACTAGAACGACAAGGCGGCTTCAGCAATGTCAAAGTTGAGGCAGTGGAAGGTGCAAGCAGCAAAAGAAGATAACCGACGTGCGCAGATGTTGAACCATTCATCACGTGATATACTCAGTAGAAGCGAAGACGAATCGTTTGGTAAGTGACTGTCATGTACGCGGAAATATCGATGCAAAAATAGCCCTTTCTTACCTGGAGAGGGGGTATGAGGGCTCAGCAGTCCACCTCCAGTACCTACATGATATGGCTTGATTGAACTTCTAAAAAAAATAAATCCTTGCTTCGGCTAAGAACCCAAGATATCCACACATGGAACACATTGAAAATCTTGCGTCAAATATTTATGTTGATTCGACACTGATTTCTATCGAGTTTGATTGAATTATATTGACTAAATACAAGAGTGAGTATTCTTTCTGGCAATATTTTAGAAGAAATGAATAATGCAACTCTGTATTTTCCAAGTGTTTTAAATTCAATCAACTCTATCGAATTTACTTATGATTCCGATATTCTTATTGTTTAGAGAAATTGAGAGAAATTCGTCGACCTCAAGCCAGAAGACCCATGAGCAGCATAACAAGTAATACAAGTACTGAGGCTGAAGATACTGAATTCAGTACACCAAGAAACGACTCCGGTAATCCTTCATAATCGTTACTAATAAGTCTAGCATGGCTATTTCAAACAAATTTGCCCGAGTCTGCCAATATTTCAATTCATAGGGAATTGCGCATTGCCAAAATGAAATCAATGCGAAAGTTAAAGAAACAGAAAATTGCCTTGTCTAAATATTTAGAGAGAAACACGTAATAGTCAGTGGCTAAAAAACCTGTGGCTCTCATTCCATGATGGGATTGAAATCTGGAAGTGCGAGGGAGGGAATTCGAAACCGGAGAAAGATACTCCAAACACAGGAGAGAACCAATAAGCAACTGTACTCACATGACTGCCGGGGATCAACATGACCATGGCAGTGAGAAGTGGTGCATTAGCAGCGCACACTACCCTTTTAGTCCTCAAAACCTCCAGTAGAAATTTCTCAAGCAATGGGATCCCCTGTTGTAGAAATATTTTCTCATTTTTCTCTATATTAGCCAGTGAAGAAATGTGAAGAAATGTAAAAGTTTACAAAGCATAAACGTTTTGAGCGTAGCTCCTTTATCAGACGTGAATGTTAAATGACAAGTGAACGTCAACCATCGGTGATCCCCTGAGCTTATTCATTACTATGTGACCAGGTTAAACTTCTAAACAATACATTTATGTTTTCAGGACCGTCAATAGAACGAAAGAGAGCAACATTCGAGAAACGTGAAATGGAACTGATGTCTGAAGTCAGAGATTTGCGCAAGCGTCTTGCTGGGAGAAGAAACAAGGTTCCTCCAGAATATCCTACCTCTGACTCCAATACATCATTGCAATAAACACTTCACAACCACACTATTTATTGTCTGGCCGGTACAATTTTTTTAGTGAGTTTATAAGGAGTGATAAAACTACGGTGGACAGGACAGGACGAATAAAGACTAATGGCTTTTATCTGCATCTTACTTAGCTACATCTCGTAAATAACAAACCGTTATAAGTCATAGTATACTGTCTTAAGTGTCGATCCTAGTGATTTACGACTCACACTAATGACAGCTGAGAAGGCGACTTACCCATCTCCTGCTCTCCTGTACCAACTTGAATCTCAGTGAGATTCACTATTTGCCCTGGTTTGCGACCGTCTTAATTTAGTTTTAGGCATCTCGATTTTTAGTTTGCTTTTTTGAGTTTTAAAAAAAACTATTACATTTCTATTTGGGAAATTGTTTGATTGATGGTTTACTTCACATGCGTTTGTCGGGAGAAAGCCTATATACCTTTGGATTTGTGAGGTTATAAGCATGTAAATATACTATGGAAAACTCGTTTTTTAATAAAAACCCGCAATATAAAATAAAGTTAATGCTGTGATACCCCTTATTTTTATATAGGTGAAACATATCGTTCGTTTGATTGGCGCTCCAATGCTCGCCGTATCGATCGTAACAAGGAATCTGGATGAGACTGTCTTGGTATATTTTCAACGGGTTTATGTGCCGTTTAGGGTTGCGATGCACTGCCTGGTGTCGTTCTGTTAAAAGAGCAGTACATTTGAAAGAACAATGTTAATGATGACAAGCAAAAAGCCACCGTCTACGTGAAGATAGGGTGACCTTACTGCTTTACTAACTCGTTCGTGCTTCTTTGTATCCTGGGGAAAGAGAACGCAAAACTTCACCTAGCGGCTTCAGGGTGTCCATAATTTCATGTGAACAAGTGGCACTAGTTGCGCACGCTTGTTTGATGAATCAGTCGAGATTCTAGGTAATAAAATCACATCAAGTGGATACGTGCCTTTTTAAATAGTTTCTCGCGATACTGGAAGGAGATACAAATGTCGTATAAAGTGTTCGGTAACATATAAATGAACTACCAGTCCGAAAAAAGCCCCGCAATCAATTCAAATTATGATAACAAGTTTACATGGCCCGGCTATCGATATAGGTTCACATCATTACGTGACGGCAGTCATGTTAGATGATGGCAGGAACAATATACAATCGTTTTACATCAGAAAGCATTCAATTTCCCCAGAGTAAAAGAACTATTGTTCTGCCATCTAACATGGCTGCCGGCTCGTGATGGTGCAAAACCAGTATCATTACTTTGACCAACCACTCCATGATACTTACAGATAGGGTGCTCTGAGGTGGGGTGTTGTTCTCGGCTGACAATGAAGCTGTAATGATGACAAAGTGGTAAGCACATGTTCAGGGACCGACAGAAGAGGAAAAAGTCAGTATCAAAACTCAATAACGGTCACTTGTTCAAAATGATTGAAAAGATAGCTCAAAAGTATGTAAAACAAGACAGTCATTTGAACTTCCCTTGCACAACAAAAGCTAGCAATCTAAAACTTTACCTGAATTTGACGTCGTGCGGGATCTAGTTGACTAGAATGCGTCGTTACTGTCTCTCCACCTGTTTATAAGTTTAGAAAGAATATGTTTTTAGGGTTTAAGTTTTACATGTATGTATAATTTTATAATTGAGGCTTTTAGTAATGCTATTGCATTAAATTAATATCAAAGCATGAAGGCAACCTATGACAGAAAATCATTTAGTTAATTTTGTCTGACATTGGTTACAGATACAGGGTGTTTAGATATGTCCTACCTCTCTTGGTCCTACCTGATGTGCTCATTCCAGGTGTGTGGTGACCATGACTAGATGATATTTGCGATTGTGAAGAGGTCCATGATCCAATTTTTGTTGTGCTAAAAGYATGCAAATAACGAAAAATAGCCTTTATTATTGTCTGGAATTGTTTTACCGTGTTGCCAAATGGCTTAATGGTCTAGAAAATAGAAGACCTGTCGTAGCACTATGTCGTCAATAAAATTTAAAAGTGTATTGGTTTTCCCCAATCATCACCAGTCATGTTGTTTGACTTCATACTCAAAGGGATTGGTTGCTTTTGCCGTGCCAAGCAACATGGTCGCCACCTATTTTGTCTCTTTATTCTCATGAGAAGTGGAGGGGTTGGGAAGATAACTGGCACCGTGATTACATTATCAGTTAGAGGTAGATGGGTCAGTACTGCTTATCTCATGAATGAATTACTACATTTCACCCAAACCACTGTTCCGTTACAGTATTTTTCAATGATATATTTATTTATATATATATTTATTTATTTATAAACATATGTATAGAAGTTTTGCACCATCACGTCACGGCAGCCATGTTAGATGGCAGGAACAATACAATCGATTTACATAAGAAAGAATTCAATTCCCAAGAGCAAAAGGATTTATTGTTCTGTCATCTAACCACAGGCAGCCCAATCTGTTCTATGACAGTGGGTGTGTGATGGTGCAAAACCTCGATAACAGTGTTTGAATTGGTAGAAACAAAACTTGTACTAACGTTGATGGTGACATGGGTAAGTTTACAGCCATTGGTGAAAAATTTTGTGCTCCTGCTGCTTTATACATAGTCGGTGTGATGGGCTCTGGTTGTCCGGGGCTACATGCCATTCTATATTTAAAAAATGGTTATTTCGATGGAAGTGATGCAATATGACTTTTTTTGTCTTTGTCTTCGTTGTTTTGCGTTGCGGAAAGGATAACGGACTAACCTGTCAAATAACAAATTCGTGCACACCGCCATAACGTACCTTGTTCACACGGCGCCATATTCATTCTCATCAAAAAATAAATAACCTCATCCTGAAGGGACTGAATGCAAGACAACGCGCTGGGGAAAATCAATTGCTATTGCTACCTTCTCATTATATATTTACACTTGAAAATCYCTTTATTTTCCTAAAATGTGTAAGTTAAATGTTCGCATGTCCATAATTAATAACCTCATTAGTATATTTGACATTCTCTTACCTTATTATTGATCCAGGTGTGTTGCCTGTCGATACTGGGCGTTGAGAGAGTGGTGAAGGAGTACGGCGTGAAATACTTCCTGCGTAAGACAGACCTTTTTAGGCCCTATGTATTATGTTTTATCTTAGACTATTATCATACTGTGCGTCTTTTAAGATCAGAATGCATCAGGCTAAAGTAGCTTAAAGTGCGCAGCACGACTTCAGCCCTGCATGGTTAGCATTAAATATAAAGTGTGTTCAGGAAAAGGACTACTAGGAATTTTACCTATCATTCCATTTGAAGGAGGTGTGCGTACAGTCAACCTTGATGGACCAGCTGGAGTGCGCGGCAGCTGTGACTGAAGAATAGCAGAATGTTGATTTAAAAATCGATTTAAACGTGGGTATATAGAAGTAAATTGTCATGAGAAAGGAAATTATAAAATTATCTTTAACCACCTTCTTACCTGCCAACGTTTTGATGCATCTTGTTGAGGACTTAAGCCGAAAAAGAAAGATAAATTAATTACATGCAAAATGATATTGGCATAATTGGGATAAGAATCTCAGTAAAAGGTAAAAAGGAAAAGGCCTTGTTTAACGTTAGTGTTCTTTCACCTTGTAGCTGGTCTACCAGGGAGCTGACGTGGGCACTTTACCCGCTCAATCAGTGCTCTGTTTTAATAGTATCCAAAGCTGAAGCTAAACTGATTAGAGAGAAGTCGAAAAAAGTCGTGCGGATCCTGAGGATAGAACCACGGACCTCTAGCTCTGAAGGCACTAAATGAATTCTAAATTAAGTCTGCTCAACCTGATTTAATTTCGCATTAACCAATAAATTTTCCTTGAGAAAAGAATTACAAATTTTTTCACTGTACCAACGATCATGGAAGTCAATCTCAGGCATTTACTTTGTTTAGCGCCCAGGTAACCCTAGTTCGAATTTACACTGAAAAATTAATGACCGTGTCTTACTTACGTGGTTGTTACCACTCGACCGTAGGGCGAACTGGAGTATGGAGTGGGTGAATGGTTGTTGGAAATACCTGAGTTTCAAAAGGACGATCAACTACAGATAGTTAAAGTTTGATAATCTCATTTGTTAATAATATAGACCCTTTAGCATTGGAGATAAAATAAATATGATTTTCTTCCAGCTAGCTTAAGAACTTTAAATGAATTATCATTTTTGTTTTTATAAGTAAGTTTGTTTTAATTCCTCGCTAGGTACATAGTGCAAGAGCTGAAAAACAACTTTAGTTTCAATATATTGTCTGACTATGAAGAATGAAGAAATGTATGTTACCTCCTCTTCGTAAAGATATCCCAGGCGATGGTACTTTGTTTGTTCCAGGACTAAACGTTTGTCCTTCTGATAGCAGCCTTTTTAGATAATTATTTTCTTCCCGAAGCTTAAGGATTTCTCTTTAAAAAACAAAAAAGCAAATGCCTTGTAAAAATGAGTGAGAACCAGACTTAAAACACATGAACATCAGAGGCGCCCATTTTTAACGTTAATCTTCAAATAATTCAATAGTCCGTGTTATACTTTCCAGATTGATCACTTACACTTATACAATATTCATCAGGATAAAAAAACAAATTCAATACATTATACGCGCAATAATATACCTTTCTAATTCCATCAAATTAGGTAGCCTCTTTTGGAGTTTCTCCAGAGAAGATTCCTTAAAATTAAAAACGAAACTGAGTATTATATCAATAAATCGCAGATGAAAGTGAAGATATGGATAGACACAAATGCGACTGTGATATCGTAATGCCCTTTCAAATCTTATAGCTACAAACAGGCATTAGCTTCTGCATGTTTACTAAAATATATATGTGAGTGTAAGCAGCAGCTGTGACACTGGTACATAGAGTGGATTTCGTATGACTGTGAAACGGCACAACGCACGGCACGGTACGGAATCGACAATATCCTTTGAACCAATCACAGTGCACGAGGTCATTGCTTTTGCAACCAATGATTGAAAATGGTCGTCAAGGTCACGGCACCTTCCGTATCTTGAGTTTTTTCATCTCGTTTACGGCAAACTTAAACGTCGAATAACAACTAGCTCAAAACTTTTCAGAAGTAGTAAAAATTAATCTAAGACATCTTTCAATACAGATGGAGCTCTACTTGCGACCAATATAGTAAGCGATCACCTCTTGTTACGACTACGATTTTGAATCCCCATTTGCGTTCAGCTATGAGAGCCCATTCCCGTTAGCTACCAACTCTAGTTACGACCACACTTTTTCGATTTCCTGAGGTGGTCGCCTACGAGAGCAAATCTCGTATTACCATGCAAGGTCGTGTTAGCTGGGTTTTCAGATAATTCAGTCACCAATATTATGGATTTTTTCTTTCTTTCTTTCCTATTATATATAAATATATATATATATATTTGAATGTTGTTTTTTTAATCCTTGGAATGTTATTCCATGTTATATATAGTTTAGACAGTTCATTCCCATTCTCTGTGCACCCATCCCGCAAGACCCCTGGCTACAGCTCTGAAATGACCTCTTTTAAAGTTAAAGGAGCTTTCATTTCTTAGGAGGAGGGTGGGCCGGAGCAATCTAGGGGAAAGCCATTAAATTTCTACTCAGTCAAAAAGGGGGTTATCAAATATTTCATACTACACAAAAGGGAAGGACAAGAATTCCACAAATTTTAAGTGGAGGGTCACTTTTTAATGCAGACAGAAGAAAAAGGGGGGGGGGGTCTGAATATTTTACATATCTGTTTATAGGGAATTCCTTTGGCCCACCCCCTTCCTAAAAAATGATTGCTCCCTAATTTGCTAAACATGAAAACATGGTTTTAGGATTTTTACTTTTTGATTTATTAAACCGGGACCATACTTCCAGACATCGAGTGCTGAACCGTTGTATGGCAGCGCGAAGCTTTTACGGCTACGCCGGAGGTTTCGGCCCCGGGACACCGCTATCCGAAGATTTACAGACTGATCAGGAAGCTCGGCCGAAGCCTAGGGGAGAGGTTAGTCGGCCCCTAGACCGTGGATGATTAACCCCTTTTTGTTTTAGCTTCGCACCAGTGTCCCAAGATGTGCAAAAGGGACAGCATGGTGGTCTTTAGCAAGGGGGAGGGTCCTACATGGACGCCAGAGACACGCCGGGGTAATGAGCCCCGCCCCCCATGTAGACCTACACACTACAGATTACTACAATAAACACTAATACAAAAAGATAATCAAAACATCATTTACATATAGAGTATCATCCTGGTCTACCTAGGATTATACTCATCAAAACACT